TTTTAAAGAATTTTGTCCATCAATAGCAGAGGAGCCAGACATTTTTTGTTAACAAAAGTTAGGTCAGATCGTCTTCTTTTGGTCCAGAAAATACCGCAGTACCCTTTTGATCATGAGCTTACGGGTACCCTGTATATTTTCTATAAATGTTGCCGCGACTTTCTGTTTAAAAACATTTTAATTTCCAGATAGAGCTTAAATTCAGTTTGTGAAAATATTGCTTTTCGATTACCGCAAAGTTTCCAAATTTGTCTGCTTTTACTAACTATGCAGAGTTTCGGAAGTTGGGCTGCTAATTTTACGTGTGATCTGGCGTATTTAGTTAAACCAAGTTTTGAAGCAAATGTGTGAAAGAAGGAAATGTATAACAATCATATTTGGAATTTATCTTCGAAGAGTAATTAATCACACTTGCTCGTTTCTAATTAGTAATTTGGAATTTAGAGGTCAAATTTGCCCTGAGAGCATACATTTCAGACAAATCGTTTCTGCTATAGTTTGAACCAGTAATCCGAGGTTATGGAGTTATCTTCTATCTATCTAACCATAATAGATTCCCCGTCTTCTAAACATATTTATTTCTGATAGCTTCATTACCTTCAATCACATTAAACTCTCAAAATATTACATTTTTTCGAAAACGTAATATTTAAAATTCCAAAACTTCGACATAAAGCCCCATTCAGGATTATTGCAGGTTAGGGAGATACCTTGTTGCCTTAAATGCATCGATTTTAATCTGCAAGTCTTTCCAACAAACCATTTGAGTTACTACTTCCAGACTTTACTGAATACCTATGGGCATCAAGTGTAAATATTTAAGTGTCATCAGGGTTCATAAATTTAGAAATTTAGTCTGCTACCTAAAGTTCGACTTTTCAGTTGATGGATAACAGATCTAAAAACATTTTATGCGAAAACGAATTACCTTTAAGAACATTCGGAAAACTGCAAATACCTAAATCTGGTTAAGTAAGCGAGCTATCCAAATGCACGTTGATGCAGATAAATAAATAATTAAAACGCTACTGGAATTTCTGTACTGAATTGAGTACACTTCTTCACATAAGTGCCGAGCACAACTTGCCACAATCTTGCGGCGAGCTAACAGTAATAATTCGGAGCGAAGTAGTAGAGCACATAGGGAAATGTAAGGGTTGGTAGTTGTAGAATCCCTGGAATTTTCCTGAATGATCCTTCGTCAGGTTGTCTGTAATTATCCCTTAGTTCAAATACGGGGATTTTAATAGTGTCCTGCATCATTAATGATATTAGTTTCCAACTTCCATTAGATTTTTGTTCTGTCTCAAAGAGATCTTCTAGAACTGATTTAAGCTCATAATTATGAAATTATTATTTCAGAAGAAACTATAATTTCGTATAACTGCAAGATAATTTATAAATTTCATTTCATAACACATACTCATATGATTTGAATAAAAAAATTCGTATTGTGATCCTTTTATTGGAAACTGAGATTCTCTTCAAACCCCTTTTGGATATACGGAACAGAAAAACTGGTTGTGAGAGACATTTTAAACTAAGTCGAATGGAACTTTTTTAGATATTTCAAACCGGAACTGCAAAATAAATATTGAAGGTAAATGGAAGATCCCGAGATTTTGTACCCAGCTTTAGCGAATGTAGGTCAAATATCAAATAAAAACCCAACTCTCATAACTTTTTTATGTACTTAATACTCAGAAGGATAGTGCCGCATTATTAATCAGCTATTAAATGATTAGACTATATTACATTTTTTTGACATCGATTTTCTAAATCTCTAGGCTGAATTTAAGGCAATAAGTTACGCAAGTACAATTATCATGAGATTTAGATATATGTGCGCGTCCATGATTTATCGGTTTTAAGAAGCTGACAGGTAATTTTCTGAAATTAAGCTTTAATATGTTCAAAGTTATTAATCAAATAGGCAAATCCTTGTTCAGTCAGATTGTTCTGATGATCAGTTTATCGGAAATTAAATAGAAGAATACCGTAAGCAAATGCACTATGTAACACGAAACAAAAAATGTTCACACATATTATGTCGTACCAATACTGGAATTAAATTGGTTTTATCGGTGTGAAATAGTTAAAATAGTATTTAGAAGAATCGATTATTCTGCAGTCACTTTACTTATTTTCCTCCTATTTTTTCTTCCAAGGAACTGCTATTAATTTCTCAGCATAAAATTTAATTTCCAGTTTCTATCAAGCTAACAGTATTCTTCAAAAATTTGCTACAATAAAAAATAGGCTTTGTGTGGCCCATTTGAATAGTTGTTTAGAGGCAATAAATGATTGATTAAGTATAAGTACCATTGCATGTTTATTAGTTTAATTATTACTTAGAAAAATATGAATGAGAACTTTTCATAACTCGAAAATATTTGCAGTTCTAATAAACGTGTCAACTATCAGTACAGATGAGTAATTTTGTTCTACAAAATTAATTTCGAAACGTGATGTTATTCCAATGTGGCAGCGCGAGTGAGACACGAACAAAAACTCTTAACGATAAATGCAGACAGTGGAAATAAATTACCTCAAAAGAAGCAAGAGAATCACCAAAAATTACTATAAAAAAATGAGTGAAAAATATTAAGGGAGGAAGTGATAATGGTACACATACTGGAAACAATTCCAATACAAAAACTAAGATGGTTTGATCAACTAGGCAACGGAATTCTCAGTAGAAGAACTCGGATAGTGAGTTGTCACGCAAAGTGAGTAGGAAAGAAGAAAATCGAAATAACAGAAATGGAATACAAAGGGATTAGAACGACGTGAAAACAGGAGAGCTTCAGATCATAATCGCCTACATGAAATAATATAACCCGCGGCTGAAAAGATCTATTTAACCTGAATGAATTATAACTAGAAAGCATTTAGAGGTTTCAGCAATTTACGAAATAGTTTTAGCTTTGTTTATTTCCTTTCCATATTTAATCAATCAGCATTAACTAACTAATCAAGACACTTCCGCCCAGTTGCTTTTAAAGAATTCAACTGTCGATTACCTACAGGTCAATCTTTTTCAACTTTAATATTTATAAAGACAAGATATTCGTCGGTACCATCCTAACAAGAATGCCCAAAATGAGTAAGCAGTGTAAAATTGGAGACGTTCAAATAGGATTAAGATTTTTTGATGGTTTATTGAAAAATAAGTTTGTTACGGTGTTTGCTATGGTCAAAGTTATCGTACTTTCTGATTTATGCGATTATTGTTTAATTAACGTCGAATTTTGTTTGGTAATTAAACAGATGACTTACGAACAACTCAGCTTGACGGATTACTGGAGTACATTCTTTAATATCAAAATCGCTACCCATCCAATTGAGTACATTCATGCCGAAATGGTAACGATTTCCGCTAAACCGCAGTTAAGCTTGTAATGGGATATTGATCAGAATATGCTTTTATTTCTTAAGAAGACATTTCTATAAACCTTTAACGTTTAAAAAATATAAAAATCTCATAAGAATGAAGGACTGTTAGTCCCTATGCGTCCAAACGTAAATACAGGACAGTAAGATTTTTGAGCTGTTCAACATTTTCCCTTATGTGAGCAAAGCAGCCTTACATAGAGGTGTAGAAACAAAATGTTATGCTGTCAAGTATGTGAGTGAAACGTGCTCGTATTAGAGAAGGTGGAAAAGTTAGACTGCAACTTTGCAAGATAGACTGAAGTTGTTCTATAATTGCTAAACGCGTGATCGGCAAGATATCAGACAAAACTTACACGTGCTTTTTACTTTGAGAAACCGTTTGATAATAGAGATAAAGAATGACAAATGCACCTGCATTCGGCATTGTTTTTCGGGAACTAAATCAATTACAAGCGATGGTGATATATGGTGTGTTGGATTTTCGATTGAATTTTAGTTTAGATACAAAGTGTAAAAGGCGCAGTATTTACCCCTGCAAGCAGAAACTGCCCAGGCGAAGCATTCCGCAGAACGCTTTAATGTCAAATGGGCACACATTGATAAACATAATAAAGGGAAGTAATTCCAATGGCAAATCTCGAAGTAGGCAAAGAAAATATAAAATATTTTCGATGATCTATTGGGTAATATGTATCGTAAAGATCGCATGATGGAGTAACAATCTACGATCCTTCAAGGCATCTAGTTCAAACTATTCTTAATTGTTTTCTGTTTTGTAAATATTGAAAATAATCATACTGCCTTTCACGGCCTCTCTCGATTATGTTGGATGTTTTTATTATTATATAGTTTACATTCATTATCCGCCTAATGACTATATGATGAAATTTAAATCAACTTTTTAAACAACTATCTACACACATATACAAGTTATTTATTTCTATAAGCACGTTTTGTATCAAACTTTAGTTATAATGTGTTAACTCTTCAACGTTCTCCAGAGCAAATAGTTCAGTGAATTTATCCTTAAGTTTCAAGAGGCCGTAGTACCCTCATATACATCGATGTAGATCCGATTAACTCTAATATTAATCCGAAAATAATTATATTGAACTCTGTACTTGTTGCAATTGAACCATATTATTTAGTAAATTCACATCATTTCGGGAATATACGGTTCTATTGATTTGGACTTGCATTCAAAATTAATCGGATTTGTATGTTTAATTGGCATCGACATAATCTTAATGAAAGCATTTCTGTCCAACAAATAAATCATAGCAAGAGCTCAGAATCAAAAAAACAAAAAAAATGTTAAAGGTATTTGTGGAAAATGTTAAGAACGAACAATTTAGGAAATTAAGAATTTAATCCGAAAAATCTTAGTTTTTTGGAAATTCTACATGAAAGGAAATAGTAGATAAGGTCAAACGTCTTTAATTTTCACACGAGCCCGACGCCGATGGGGCTTTCATTCAATCAGCAGTTTCGTTTGGTCTTAATTTCTTTCGGCGTTCAGCGTGTAAATACGTTTTCCGTTCCTTTATGCAACTTTGTGAGAAAATAGGGTTAGCATTCCTAATAAAACGGTTTCCAATATCCTGTTAGACTATTGAAACTGCTTTTTCTTCGTAGCGATCTTTACATTTTCATGGGAAGAATTTCGAGAAAATATTTTCACATATTCGTTCATGTCTTTATTACTGGACAAAGCTTTGAAATGCGAAAAAAGTATTTTTATGAACAAGGGGCAATTTACGTACAGTAATATTTATCTAATTAAGGTGTTTGGTTTAGTAGTTATTTCTCTAAACTAAAATCCAAATATGAATGCAATTGTGCTATATATGAATTAATTATTGATTGTTGATAAATATGCATTTACGTTGCAATATTATAATTTGAATAATTCATAATCATCGTTCTCAGCTAATTCGTACAATTCAGTTATTTCATATTCAAATTAGAGCAGTATGTTACACAAATGGTGCCGTTTATGATATTATGTTACAAATATTAACGTTTAGTTGGATAGAAGAAGATTTATTAATATTAATTTGGTGAGGCAGAATCTACATTTTAAATCGAAATTTTTCCTTGAGCATATACCGGATGAACCCGTTTCTAAAGCAGCACTTCCGGGAGGGATAAAGAATCGAAAGACAAAATGAGTTTGCTTTATAAACTATATCCGAGTATCGAGATGAGAATTAGTTTTTTAAGGTTGTGTCAAATTTAGTTGTATTGTCATCCTGTATATCAAAAAATAAAATAAAACGCACCTGGTTTTATTACTTATATTTCAATTTTTATATTTACTTTAACACATTTTAAAATTCGTTTTTTAACCATACCTAAAATCGTAATCAGAAAATCTGGGGTGATAATATTAAAGAAAAACCACATGCTAAATTTGAGTCTTTTGGAGGTTGGTTCACCGTTGGCTAATGTTGTTCGCGATTAAATTATAATTTATCCATTGCTTTGGCTTCTCTTGCGCATTGAAACATTTTTGAAAGACTTTTGCCAGTTTCAAATCCCTGCTGATATTAATTATCGCATATCGAGTAAAGGTTAATAAACTATTTCCTAATTAATTTATCTTTCAATGACCTTTCAACAAAACATTTTCAGTGTCTTCTTGGTGAAATTTTTGGAAATGGTTGAACTGTTATCTTCTCTTTAATATTGATGTAGGTTTCAACCCAGCATCATCAGGATAGCGCCATTTTGGAAATCCAACTACCAGACTATCTTCCATGCAGTATATAAAATTGATTTCAAGGCAAACTCATGGTGCAACTGTATCTTAGTAGCAGTAGTATTGTGGGGAAACCCGATGGGTCCGACGAGTAGGCCTTAAAGGCCCTTTTAGCAACTGGTTCTTACTTTTGTTAAGTTATGTTTCATAAGAAGAAATTGAAACTAAGAAATACATGTTCAAATATTTGAAACTATTGTGTTTCAGCTGAAGGAATAACAAAATGACTAATGAATGATTATTGTTGCAGGCACAAATGCAAGATTGGTCTACTCCATCGAAAAGAACGTCATCGAGGAAGAGACCGGGTCTCCTATCTTTGAAATCGAATCGGAAACGGGAGTGATTAAGACGGCCGTATGTTGTTTAGATCGTGAACGTACGCCCGATTATTCCATCCAGGTGGTTGCGATGGACGGTGGTGGTTTAAAAGGAACTGGGACTGCTAGTATTCGTGTTAAAGATATAAACGATATGCCTCCCGCGTTCACAAAAGATGAGTGGTTAACTGAAGTAGACGAAACTGATGGTAGCGCACTGCCGGAAATGCCTATTCTTACCGTAACTGTGCATGATGAAGACGAAACTAATAAGTTCCAATACAAGGTAGGATAATTGTTCGCTATTTTCCTAGTATATCCATTATTTCTTCCAATGTCCCAGTTTTGTGGAACTGCATACGTCAAAATGTAGCATCAAATTTTTTGTATACTCACTTAAGTTTCTACATATATGGAAACAAAAATGTTTATATTTCGGTAACATATTTTGCATGGAATTGACGAATCCAGGTAAATGGCGTTTTTTAATACCTAAAGTAAACTACCGCCATCAACCCTCTATCCTCTAGCCACCCCAAGTCTAAAATTTCAAACGGCAGCTCTTTACTTGCGATAGATCTTCTTAAAGCAACCAACTGATTCATTACAAAATTCAAAGTTATCACTTTTAATTTTTCACTATTTTTAAAGAAACACGAACACTGTGGAGAATACTTGGGACAAAACATTTGTGTACAGTTACAAGTCTTACATCTAACTCCTTTTTGGACTTGTATCCATTTTTACGTATTTTATTATTATACTGACTCAATTATCTGCAGGTACTTGAAAGCAGCGGCTACGGTGCAGACAAATTTACAATGGTACGGAACAACGACGGTACCGGCTCCTTAAAAATAGTCCAGCCCCTGGACTATGAAGACCTTCTTCAGAGCAACGGATTCCGATTCCGCATCCAGGTGAACGACAAGGGTGAAGACAACGACAACGACAAGTACCACGTGGCTTATTCATGGGTAGTTGTGAAATTACGGGATATCAATGATAATAAGCCAGTTTTTGAAAGACCCAATATCGAAGTCAGTGTGCCAGAAAACGCAGAAATTGGTAAAAGTTTAGATACTTTCAAAGCAACGGATCCCGACCAAGGTGGAAAAAGCAAGGTAAGTGCCTTGCCTTTTATAGCTAGAACAAGTGGTCTTGTCATTCCTAAACGATTGCGTGATAATAATTTTTTGACAAATAAATGAGTGGGACACAAGAATGATCTCTCTACAGTTTTGATTACACATAAAAAAGAAAAAGCCGAATGCCACTGCTGAATAAGAGATTGTGTTAAAGTAGACTCAGCGTCAAAGATATGTTCWCTCAARGAACTCTCACAGCGATGCTTGTTGTCAATGAAGTATTTTTCTAGCTRCTTAATTTTCTTCACATATTTGACCGATTTTGCTTACATTACATTATAACCGTTATTGCGATTGAAGCAGAAGGTAAACATGAAATATTTAACAYTTRKATGGAGGTGATCAAAACTTCAATTTTTTTATTTGGGCTCAAAGTATTGAATTGTCACTTCTTTTTTATTTKTATTTATATTTTCACAGAAAGAAGTTTTAGTTGGAAAGATGTAACAAAAGCAAGTRATACAAACGTACTACACTTTTCAATTTGCCATTTCCAAAAATGCTTTTAGAATAACTAATTTTTAATTAAACTCGTCCATTTTTTTCAATTATTTATGATATTGACGAGCTTTTCTAGCAATGGAGGTAATAAAAGTGGCTTGGGACTTAATACAGTAAGGGTATACTGGCCACGATCTTTTTTTGTTTTTTCACAGTTTTCAACACAGAGGAAGATCTCATGGAAATATTATATTTGCTCACCAACTACATTTTTTACATAATCCTAGTCTTCTAATGGAATACGCTTAATACATTGAGCAAGGGAAAAAAAGAATATGATCATCTTGGCTATCTTTTGGCAGTATTTAAGAACTCCATGTAATCCATCCACTCTAATGCAAGGTTGCATTAAAATTGTTTTTTTGTAACTTCTATTTGTGCAATGGACATGATAATACCGGGTGTCAATTTAAAAACTTCCTAACTTAATACCTTTGTTGCAGTGAAAAGTATGAAAAATCGGAAAGACCGTCACTTTATTTATAAGGTGGACACTTTAAATTCATACTTTTCGCCTCCTTGTTTCAACCCCTTAGGAGGGGTAGATGTCACCCTGAGAATCCTAATTGGGAAAGGGGGTCAAGTGGCACATCGTTTCAAAGGGCGTTCAATTATCTTTACATTAATTACTACTTTGTTGCTTTTTGTACAGATGTTTTCCAATAACCGGGTTTCAAAGTTACATAAACAATTAAACTTGCCTGCAACAAGATTTTGGTTTTCAAATTACTGTTTAAACAAAAATTATGTCATTGGGTTTCCTTATGCTACAAATGATTAAAATATGCGGTTACACCGTTAAAATCGTTGAATGACAGGAAGAAAATCTAGTTTAAACAATTAATTTCAGAAGATTTATTGATTATTTTACTTCGAGAAAAATAGCTTTTTATTTACGGAAGAGAAATTGCTGCAATCAACCCCACGGATCTACTTGCACATTATCTTATAAGTTGTTCAAAATGTTGTCGATTTTCCTGTAAAGAGAGTGACAGGAAGAACACCGGATTGAGGCTTCTTTTTTTGGGGACATCTTAATTCCATTGCTTATGAAACACAACCTGCAGATATTGATGATCTTAAAAGTCAAATTGCATCAGAATGCCGGTCAATTCCCGGTGAGGTTTTCCGGAATGTCAGGGAGCAGTCCGAAAACAGACTTTATTATTGCTTAGAGGAAAATTTACAACATTTTGAATGACTTATAAGATAATGCGTACGTAGATCCCATGAGTTTTATTGTTGAAATTTATCTTCCGTAAATGAAAAGTCATTTTTCTCGAAGTAAAATAATCAATAAATCGGTGTTAATGTGTACTAACGGTGTAGAAGATTCGGTATCTTCTAATCATCTGTACCACAAGGAGGACTAATGACATATTTTTTTCTACAACTTCGAACCGCGATTATTCGGAAACCTCTGGACAAAAACAACAAAGTAGTAAGTGATGTAAAGAGAATTAGACGCCCTTTAAAACAGTGTGCCACTTGACCGCCCTTCCCCTTTAAGTGTCCCCCTAACAAATTCACGGTTCTTTCCGATTTTTCATATTTTTAACTGCCAGAAAGATATTAAGGGTGGGACCTTTTCAAATTGACACCCGTTATATTTAATTTCCAATAAATATTCATAAAAAAACTCAGTTGTTGCGTAATATCATGTAATAAAAATGACAATTCATCCGCAAAAAGTGTGCTTAGTATGTCGGTGTTTTCTCATTCGCATTTATTATTTCTTCATCAAATCCCCCTGTGGACAGCAGTTTTGCATGCTTCTATCCTTCATTTTTACACGCAGTTTCTCATGGCGATGTTTGCATTTTCAGCAATTTTATATTTTTCTGTTTTCGATTCGACTGCACTGCCGTTCTTCCAATTTTCATTCCTTTAAACTTAGTAAATTTGTGGTTGCTGCCATCTCCTTCTCATACTCGAATTCCTCGAAATGAAAATTGGAATTTATTTTTCACGTCTATATGAAAAAGCGCAAGTGTAAAAAGCAAATGGTGCCCGCACGCGATTTTTTTGAATAATTGATGAAACCTTGTTGGAAATGTTTTGGGGCTTATCGTATACAATATTGGTTACATTTATTTCAGGTATCATATTCAATTGATAGAAGCTCAGACAGGAAAAGACAATTTTCGATAAATCAATCCGGTACCGTCAGTATCCAAAGATCTCTGGATCGTGAAGATACACCAAGGCATCAAGTGAAAATTTTAGCTATTGACGATGGCATTCCTCCAAAAACTGCCACAGCTACTTTAACAGTGATTGTTCAAGATATCAACGACAATGCACCCACATTCCTTAAGGATTATAGGCCTGTTATTCCTGAACATGTGGCTCCCAAAAAGGTAAAATTTCAAAACAAAAACAAATTGACATTATTGCAATTTCGCAATTAATTAGCCCAAACCTCACTGGGATCCTACCTTCTTCGATTCCTAATATAAATATTTTTAAACAGCGAATGAATTGTCGAAAATATTCAATTGCTCGTCTTTCGTTTGGTTTCTACTGGAGATTTGACCATCCGAATCCTGCCCGAATTATTTAATGGCATAATTGCATTCATTGCAGGTGGTTGAAATTCTAGCAACAGATGATGATGATCGATCGAAAAGTAACGGACCGCCATTCCAATTCCGATTGGATCCAAGTGCCAGCGATAGAGTTCGGGCCAGTTTCAGAGTTGAGCAAGATCAAAGTATGTGGCTCTCAGTGGCTCTCAAGAGTAAACAGCTGAAAATATATATTATTTCAGAGGGTGCTAACGGTGATGGCATGGCCATTGTCACGTCCTTAAAGTCTTTCGACCGAGAGCAGGAAAAGGAATACCACATTCCGATTGTAATCAAAGATCACGGTAATCCTGCTATGACAGGCACCAGCACACTTACCGTTATTATCGGCGATAATAACGATAATAAAATGCAACCTGGGTCGAAGAATATATTCGTGTACAACTATCAAGGTAGTCATTTAGGCGAAAATGCCAATTTTTTCATAACTCCGTTAATGAAAATATTCGCGATATAATTTGGCTAAATATGGGGCTTTTCAATTTAATGGAAACTTTGCAAATAATATAAATTCGTTGTGAAATCAATCACTTTCAAAACAATAAGCTATAACGTAAAACCTTGCTTTTGCAGGTCAAGCTCCGGAAACAGAAATAGGTCGAGTGTACGTCTACGATTTGGATGACTGGGACTTGCCTGATAAGAAATTCCATTGGGAGACAAGCAACGTGGCACATCCGAGGTTCAAACTCAACGAAGATACAGGGATGATATCTATGTTACAGGGCACTCGAGACGGAGTTTATTATTTGAAATTTAAGGTAGTATAAAACGTCTATAAATATTCATCGCAGTAAAACAATCGCAGCAAACATCATCGCAGTAAAATTTAAAGAGGGAGTTTCCTATTATTGTTTGTATGCATAAAAGCATACATAACTTCTCATGCTTTTTTTGCTTAATATTTTCCTGTGACACACCATACACCAGAAAAAATATCAAGCAATACTAATTTTTTTTTTAAGAAAAGCTAGTCAAAGGAAGTTTTAATAAAATTATATCTATAAAAAAATCAGATAAAAACTAAAAAGTCTAACGTCTTCAAAATTGAAAACGCCCCGAGCTGTATTTGAGTGTCTGACATGTAAGTCCATATGAAAGCTGAAAGAAATCCCATGTTACTTGGATACCGTTTTGTTCTAGACTCGAATAAACTTTAGATATCTTCTGGTGTCTTGTAGTCAATGACTACATTTCCAACTGAACAGAATATCAAATAACCGAATATATAGTTGATATTATAACATTCCATCAACCGAAAGTAAAGTGGCAAATAACAACAAATATGTTACTTCTTTTGCAGGTTTATGATCGAAAACACACTCAGAACGATGTTCCGGCAAACGTTACGGTGACCGTAAAAGAAATACCTCATGAAGCAGTTATCAATTCAGGATCAGTGCGAATTGCCGGTATAACTGACGAGCAGTTTATTCGAGTTTGGGATTTCAAATTGAAAGTAAGTTTTGTCAATTCCACCGAATGCATTAGCGACAACCCGAATTTCTTTAAAGGATCTACCGAAATCGATGGCGGAGAAATTTAAGGACAAAATAGCAGATCTTCTAAGCATCAACCGAGAAAATGTGGACGTGTTTAGTGTACAACTGCGTCGAAAGCATCCTCCAGTAACAGATGTTCGATTTTCTGCTCATGGAGGTTCCCCGTACTACAAACCTGTCAGGTTGAACGGCATGGTTCTGATGCACCGAGAAGAAATCGAGAGAGCTGTTGGCATTAATATCACTATGGTGAGTACCTTTTAACATATGACTATACTCGTATAATATAGAATATACATTTTTGCGTAAGTAATCGATGTCTAAAAATAGCATCACTTCTGAAACGTTGTCGTTTTAAATGTGAAGGCGACATTATATTTTTGTTTGCTAACCGCAAGTCCGCTTCCAGCGTGATAATAAAGATCCATGTAACATTAAAAGCACGCGTAACGGCATACAAGAAGTACGATCGTTAAAACGCCTGGAAAGTTCTTTCAATTTAACTTTGTCGGGACCTAGATGTTATGAGTTGGGCCAAAGAAAACGTCTTTCGGCCATGAAGTGTAGAACTTTTTCATCCGCGTTCATCTGCTTCCGGCTGCAAATTAATGGTCGTAACAAATGATGTCGTTATGACAAATTCTGCAGTCGTTACATTCGACGTGGCACACGTTATGAACAGATTTTTAGCAAAGTTTTTAGCGCGTCTTTTATATCGAATATTATACTATTTTTCATATGAGGATATGAGGTATTAATTTCAATTAGCTCAAAACTCGTTTTAAAAGACAAAAAAGTAATTTTCATAAATAGTTTCTCATTTACTTTGGATCAAATTAAAATCTGTAATAAATTTTGATGTGTTGCCTTCAGTATAGTAGACCTAGTATTTTGTCTCATTTAGGCAGCCAATTTGCTTCTGAGTAGGTCCCTTAAGTAAACGAAGGAATAACAATTTTTTCATCTTATTCTTGCCACATAAAGTTTTAGATTGTAAGCTTAACGAAGCGCTAATCATCAATATCTGTTCATAGAATTCTCCGAAATTAATTGTTTTGGTAAAAAAATTTCCGGTAGAATTTTCTACTGTTTTCTTATCACAGACATCACTTCAATTAAAATAATAAAATGTATTTTGATTCATTTTCCTGGCTGCGTGTAATTGTTCCCATACTATTTTCTTTCCTGGGCTCCAGGCACAGTGTGAAACAATTTTTTTTGTATATCGTTTGCTTCGTTACGTTTCGGCAAGACAACAGTGCCATCATCAAATTTTAAAATTCGTTCAAACTCATAATTGATATATAAATGAACACAACTTCTTCAAGAAGAAAAACAAATTGAAGGTTTCAAGACACCCAAGACCTAAAAGAATCTAATGTTTACCAATTATGAGTGTAAATGAATTTTAAAATCTAATGATGGCGCTGTTGTCTCGCCGACACGTAACGAAATAAACGATATACAAAAACATTTTTTGTTTCACAGTGTGACTGGAGCTCAGGAAAGAAAATAGTATGTTAACAATAAAATTTATATGAAGTGCTAGAGTGTTACACTTTGATAAAAATAAAAGTAAATGGTAATTCATTCTCATGGTGCAGTTTTATTTTTGACTTGTGGATATATCGTAGATCGCGTCAGCTCTTCGACTCCTTGGAACCTTCCATACTTCCACCTTGGAAGTTTAATTCACTTTTACATCCAATACTATTAGTGCCCCTAGTTGAAAGTGTGACCCGTCTTAATCTTGTTTTTCATGAAGGCGGTTAGAACTACTTTCATTGGATAACTTTCTGATATCTCTCATTCTATAGGGTATCTGAAGAAATGCTGCTCAAAATCCTACTATAAATTCCTGAAGGCAGAACATGACGAAAATTCTCAAACCGTATTTAAATTATCACAATTTGTATCGCCCAGACTTGGGTTTGCACATATATTTCACAAAACAACGGTTTTTTCAACTGTTTCTGAAGCATTTTTATGTATTTTAATTAATTCTGAGTGTCTCTAGTATCCACGGTATACTTAGCGTTCAGGCTCGAAAGTAATGAAAACGACTTGTGTACACAAATTCAAAATTCATGGGATATTTCACGGAACGACGAGGAACTGATGATTACTGTCCATTTAAACTTTTTCCGTTCAATTAATGCTTACTTCTAAAAGCGATATCAGAGACGACTTTGAAGCTTCGCGAACAATCCTAAATATTAGGGGATTTTTAGTTAGAATTGCATTTGCACATAGTTTATGAAGTATTGAACTGTTCAGGAAGCGCCAAACTTTCAATCTTAAATTTTGGAAATATCTCAAGAAGAGTTTCTACTATGAAATCCTTTTTTACATAAGAACTTTACTCAAACCCCAATCTGGTCAAAAGTCAGTGTTAACTGGGAGATAAAAATAAAGGCCCTTTTAAAGAAGGCCCTTTAAATGTCTTAAATGAGCATAAAAACCCTTCACGCGTTCTAATATGTAGAGCCATAAGAACCCGTATTATTATTTTGACACCGCTAAATAGATTAGTGACCCATTTGGAGAAAATAGGTTTGAATGTGGTTTAAAAACTGTAGTTCCTTCCGTTTTTATTAATTTATTAGGTGTGACTGTATATTTTACTACTGTGTAATGTAATTATTGAACATTGCAATAGTGTGTCTTGAGATTAAATCTACCAACGGTATATCTTGTAAAATGTGCAGTCAGTTCGTTTATTGTATAAATTTATGTCGACAAAAATATATCTCCAGACTTCGAACGCTGAACCGACACCAACCGAGAAAAATAAAAGTCGCTCAAACAATTTTCTTTGAAATCTCCATTTCTTATCGAAATTAAGCCAGTAATTTAAGAAAAAGATTTTATAAGTCTTTATACAATGTTGCCGGTATCCATTACTGAATATGTAAAGGGTAGTAGAGTAAATTTAAATCCTCATTCCACCCGAGATTCGTTGTTATTTTTATTTTCTCGTATAAAAGTTCCACGCATAAAAGACGCAATACAGCTCTTTAAATGCAAATCAATACCCAATTTATCAGATTTCTGCCTTCCAAAGTCGAGCGTAAATAAAAACTTCAATTTTACAAGTTTTCACAGAACCAATATATTAATTTTCTATTCCTAAAAGTTTCCTTTAATTCAAAAATTTAAAAGGTTTTCTGTGAGGGTTTCAAAGTTGTCCTATTGCAAAATTTAATATTTTCTAGAAAATCGGAAAAATTCTATTACTCTATTGCTATACAATATTTCAGTTTTATTAATTTATTTCAATGGTTTGAATGTATTGAGCAATCGAAAGTGATTTAAAAATAAACTTTAATTATGGTTAGTAAAATTATTTACCTTGAGGTGAGGTTTTTAAATGATATTGTCAAGTGCAAAGGGTTGGCGTTTTAATAATAAAGTACTGCCACTCTCGCTTCAAAATCTAAAGAGTCCTTTGATTCCCTTGTGTTTTGTTTCAAATTAAAATGCTTGCCTTATAGCGCAAAGAAAGAGTTATATTCTGCTATATGTGTACATATATTAGAAAGTACTAAACCCTAAAAGCCTGGCCATATCGTTGCATCACACGATTAAAAATGAGCAAGAAATGACAATGAGATATTTTTTAATTCAAATTTTGCTTTGAGTGTTTATTTTCGGTCTAGATTTGGACATAACAGTCAATTTTAGAAGAAAAAGTCAAAAAAATTGATAAAAAGCTGGCTTTCAGAACAGTTTTCACAACTTCTCTGCCTATGATGCACATACTACTTTGCATGGAGTTAAATGGATGATCTCAGGCCGTTAATGTTTGAATAATAGTCAATGAATAAGTGTCATGGCATTTGAATCGCTTAAGATCCTATTAAGCAATGTTTCAAGTAAATGTGGCTGAGTTTGGAGGCTATGAGCTAATGAGCGTTAGTTGAAACTGCACCTGAAACAAGAAGCTAAATTTGTTCATAAAAACCCATTGTATGTTACGGTTTTCAGAATTATTCTCGGATCTGAGCATGTTGGATATCCATTCTTGAAGTTGAAAACCCATTGCTACGATTTCACTCAATTTAAACGCAATGTTTTGTATGTGTGCTAATTTTTGTAGGTATACAATGACCCATTAATGTTTAACGCTTTATACACCCCAACGAATTCTACCAATTTGGCCACATTCATCTCAGGCTGATAATTACTGGAGCTCCGATATTCGAAAAACTGATAATAAACTCTATTGCAAAATTATTATTTAGTCAATCGCAATAATAGTAAATAGAGTTAATCCTTATTGATCGCCCAATATTTGAAATGTATTTAATTTAACAGTGCTTTTTAAATGTATTGCGATTTTTATAAATTATACTAAAGCAATATATTTTCCTATTAAAGTCCGACATTTATCACGGAGTTTAGTCATTTTTTCACGGTCATTATAAGAAGTGAAAAATGATTCACCCAAAAGTACCCAATTATATTTTTCATTCTTTACATGAGAAATTGGTTGTTTTAAATGTAAGCCTGTTAAATTGCCATGTTTCCTCCTCTTATTTTCCTGAGTCGTGCTCGCGAGTGTAGGAAGTTCGAATGAATAATTGTTTTAAAAAATTATGATAAAAGCAGCCCCAAATATTATTCCGGTATAACAGTGCCATTAAAATTTGCTTCGATATTGCAAGAAGTGTAATGAAATACTAACACGAAAATAATAGTAAATGTGAAAAGCATACTTTTAAATTAAATTATGGCATTTGGTGTTCAATAACGCTACATCATTTTTTGAAGTACATTTAATGATTTTTTCATAGAAGAAATTAAATTTTATTTTTAAGGACATTTTATATAGGAAAAAGGTAATTTTAATGAATACTGGTCCCTATAAATATAAGTCGCGACTTGCATGAAAATGTGTGATTATCATGTATGGCTAATTGTTTAACAGGGTTTAACGTTAAATATATCTACGGGAGTTTTCGCCAAGACGTCTTCCAGAATTTTTTTTAAACTTCAGATTAAACATATTGAGACGATCACGTTGGAAAACATTGCATCAGCATAGGTAGTTTAGTTGCGCAGCCTCTAAAGTTACCCGATCAAAAACATATAGATTAATTTTTGCTGGGAACCGTAAAGTGTCGTGGTTTTCGATCACCCGGGGGTAAATCAAGATCCGATTCCAATAATTCCGGTGTTTGAAATCAATTGAATACTACTACAAAATTTGTACAAAGAAATTTAAATGAAATGCATTAAGACTAGAGAAAAAACATTTTCGCATATAAAGTTTTTAAAGCATCACAAGTCCGACATGTGTTTGTCTCATCTCTAGACGAGATTGTTTACCTATCACCCTGTATATTATTCAGAAATTCATTTTTTTTTTAAATGTAGGTTTGATGGTTTCAGGAATACATCAAAATCGGCATAATCAAAACTTCAAAATTTGCAAACAACTGAATTGAATATTTCAAACAATATTTGAAAAGTTGTAATTGAATATATACGTTAACACTTTAGTTAAACATCTTCTGCAGTTTTTTAAAATATATATGTACCGTATAACAAAATAGAAGATATCGCTAAGTATCACAAATGAACCAATCTACTAAATATAAATAACCTTTACAAAAGTTGCCGTTCTACAGAATGTAAATTATCGCCAACCATTTTTAAAAGTCTAAAATTTTAATGGGTGTGAATTATAATGACAATTACAAAACAAAATTACTAAACTAATACTTAATGTAAATTAATTCATAAATGTATGTAGATTGATTTGAAGTAATTTCTGAATATAAATACAAATGACCCATTATCTGAAACAGTTGCAGTGCTTGCCTAACATTGAATAGAGTTTCACCGGAGGAATTAATTAGCCGGCTAATGAATGTAATATTCCTGCATTGTATCCTTTGTACCTGCAGAAACTGCAGATTTGATGTGATTTCCTAGTAACAATTTAATGCTCCCGGTATTTTATTATTCGTTAAGTTTTCTCCGAAACTGCACGTCATTAGTTAATTGGGCAAAGCAGTCGTTATGTTTGCAAAAAACCAATTTTCATAAATGTAACCCGATCCGACATCTATATTTTTTTCAGTATCTAAAGAGTAAGATTAACTAATTAGAAAGTTTCGTTCACAGTTCAAAATGCCACCTAAGTATAAAATTAGAATATATTTCGACATTAAAATAATTTTAAAAATTGAAGCAAAATTTCTTAAATGAGGTATTTAGTTGACAATGTTTTGTGAAAATTCTCAATCGTGGTTTTGCATAATTTAAATAGACACGAACAAAGTTTAATGGTCCGAAATACTGGAAAACATCAATTATGTACACTGATCATAAAGTAAGAAAAAATGCTTATTATAGATGAAATGAATAAGCAACATAATTAAATAACAAGAAAATCGTGAGATTAATTTTTAATTTCAACACTGGCCGTCAGTTACAAAACAGTTTGCTTGAGCTAAAAGGTGCCCGTTTTCTACAAGATCTCTCGATTCAATTAAAAGCTGCCGCCAGATCCAAGATTGGTCGTCAGACGTTAGATTGAAGCAGATTTGCTTCAGTTAAAAGCTGAGAGATAAAAATCGCTCGCTTCAGCTAAAAAATACCCATTTGCTGGAAGATCGTCTACAGCTAAACGCGAGTTATTTTCGGTATTGATCTTTTGGCGGTGATAGTAAAAAGACAAAATAATTCTCGCTATCTATTTATCAGTCAATTTTATGAGCTTCTTCTTGTCTATTAACCAAATTCTTAAAACTATCTTTTCTTGAGTAAGCTCCGAGTATAGTATGTACAATGGATTGAAAGTATTGCCATTAATCTTTACTGGAAATCAGGGAAATATTCGAAATCTTCCCAATCATAAAAACGACTAATCCACGTCCCTTTTAATATTACATACTTTTATTTTATCGTAATGGAACTGCAGGCATGCAAAACTGTTTCATTCGAATTTTATTCAAATATACATTCGAAACCGTTTTTAAAGCGGTTTTTTTGTGTTCCATGACGTTCTTTTCCAAAGCTCAAAAAATATAATCACGCAGATATATTTCGCAATTTTCCCAGGAAATTAAAACCAACTTTGAAACATTCAACAGACCACCAACTAGTATCAAATATATTTTTTTAATTAAAAAATTTGAACTACATCAATGCAATCCGAGCTTCAATCTGAATTCGAATATTTGATAATTTTGCAACATTTTTTTAAATATGAGTAGCAAAGTATACCGAATATAGGGGATATTGAGGTTGTTAGAGGGAGCTCTAATCATTTTTTTCTCAGATTAAGTACACAAGTATTTTAAAAAGTCTAGGCGTCATTCATAAAATAGTTCCCTGCATTTCTATTTGTCATTGATTTATAAACAATAAATTACTATTTTCAAATCGGTTAATTGCCTACATGGGGTATTAGTCATAAACATTTTTCTATTTAGAAGCCACATAATCTTGATTTATTTGAAAAATACACTGAAAAGTATAAAACGAAATAGTGTCAGTTTACCATGAAAGAAATAAATACCTAGTATAACAACAATTGCGATTTCYTTCGTTCCTGTTTAAAATTACGTCGGTTTGTCTAGTTTCGGTTGTTAAAATAGTTCTTGTTACCATTCTTGACAAACACTTTCCAAATGTCTCTGCAATTATCATAAAACCATATCTAATTACTGCCTGGAGGYGTGCATTATATGCAGCTTTTTGCGGTTGCCAATTTGTATGATTTAGATTACTCGAAGACAGTKTAAAGCAAAGGTGCATAAGTAACAAAAGTWGTATTGATAGTTAATTAATTTATTGACTGCAYTGTCTTTTAAAACCGGCATTATTTTCTGCACTTATTTCTATTTATTCTGGTACATTTATTGCTGATTTCCGTATTCTAAAGAGGAGCAGGCTGATTTTTGAAATCTAAAGTACTTAATTTAATCTGTTTTATCTGGGCTGCCAAACCAGTTACTGATATTTGATTTAACAATTAAAATTTTTGCTTCTGCTTTGACCATATCTGAGTCTGAATTTGACATTCCAAATATCGAATTCCGGTTGCGGATTTCCACTTAGTTAACTCGATGATATTAGTTGAACACGTGAAGATGTATAGTTAAAGGTACATAATGATATAATATCATGTCAGTAAATGGAATGAATTTGTTGAAAGCACATAATAATACACTCAAATATTTATCAGGTAAATCAATTAATTAAATGAAATTAAAATTTTTGATTGTGGAAAGCACGTATTGTTAATCAAAATGTACAATATAATATAGTCATAATTAAAAAGTCGTCTCATAGAGTTACTAGAACTAAATAAAGCTGGATTTTTATGATAATTTTTTAAAGCTGGCACAATCCAGAAACTTTACTCACTATTTTTGATATCGGTATTAAAATCCCCTGACAGCTCTCTTTTACTATAATTTAATAAATATTGACTAGGGATGATGAATCACCTCGAAAATTGTCGCAAAGTATTGGGTTTAGTTTTTTTCCTACAGCATTCTTTGACATGTTTGATAATAGTATGATGAATGGTCTGGATATATTCCTTCTAACGACGCAACTATGATAATGTACAGTTATCTCCTCCTTTATTCGCAAACAAATTGTCTCTTCTCCACGGGTTAGGAAACATTACGAAATGTATATTTCACCAAGATTTCTTGGATTGACTATTTTCCAACAACAAATGTCTATGTGGCCGGTTAATGCTTTCAACATGTGTTTTTTTGAATATTTATTTTCAAAAAACTTGGAAGTCTTACTTTTCCAAAGCTTTTATCATACGTTGAATTATTGACTGTGCGCAACTGTACTTTGAAAAAACAAGATATTGACTGAGAAAAGCTCAACTAAATTGGAAGCTATAATTGAAGTAAAATAAACTTAATCGTTTCGTTCACATTTATTTTAACCCTGTTTATTTGTTGATGCGAAAAAATTCTACTAATTGAAAAACAACAAAAACATAGGTTAAAAACAACCGAGTTATTATTTTTCCCTTTTTTGTTTTTTATCTAAGAGCGAAATGCAATTTACTCATTTACTTATTTTTTTCCAGGTGGGTATAGATGAGTGCTTATACGAAAACCAGATGTGCGAAGGATCTTGCACAAACACGTTGGATATAAGTGCCTTGCCGTACATGGTAAGTGTTGGATCTATTAATAATTCTTTTAAGTAATGGCCTGTCAACCGCAGACAGGTTACGAGACGCTTCATCTATATCTCAAGGATTCCTTGATAATAGTAACCGTTTAATATATTGAGCTTGTGACAGTTGTGATGTATTAGAGATTAGCTGAATAGAGATTTTGAATGACATTGGGGACAAATTAACCGGAAACTCGTTATTGGAAAATTGCTTCAAAATGATTAAAAGTTTTCAGTTAGAAGACTTCAATGTTGGTTCAAACTCAAATAACTTAATTATGACAACAAAAAGCAACTATTTACTTTTTATTGAAGTTTAAGGAAGCAACTCAAATTTTGTTAACCAGAATCATATTTGCGACATTTAAATGTGTGTGCATGTCCATTGCAAAACTTCCTATCATATGTCTCAAGATTCATTAATACTTGTTTAGTGTTTTTCTATTGCCTTCAAGGGAATTTTATGTAGGTTCTCGGGATAATTTTACAGTTTTCGAAATTATTTTATTGCTTTTTCTGCTGTTCACAAACATAATTTAATATTATTTTACTTGTATGGCATTAATTTCTGATACATTCAAAACGTTTTACATTTTTTGACAACACTAATATTGATGCTTAAACTATCTTCTGCATAGAAATAATGTTTCTGTAATAAATTTTATATTTATATGTAACCTTTTTGTGTGCTGTTTTGTTTTTCAGCTGAATATTTTTGTAGTCAATTATTAAGTCAGTTTGTCAGATATTTATTGTGAATCAGTTTGAAAGTTCTTTACGGATTATCCAACGGCTCAACAGCAGGCGAATAACAGGAAAGTCGATCTCGTTCTCTCGAAAAAATTATTAGATTTTTTTGTAATATGTTCCCATTAACTTGTTCGTCCGGGGGATTTGTTACTAAAGCACGAATTATGCTTTCAGGTGGGTTTATGCAGAGCCATTCAGTTAAGTATCCTTCAGTAAATAGTGGTTCAATTAACGCGTTTCCGAGAATACCAGCGCAAACATTAATTTTCTTGTTCTTCATTCTGTAGATCTCTCTTTAAAAAAGTGATGATTTTCATCACCTAATATCGACATTTCTATGCGCTGACAGAATGCTAAGAGAAGCTATTCTCACCGCTAAAATTAATGGCAACAAAATGTTGTTTTCAATGAAATTACACACGATATGACAAAACTGCTATAGGAAAATGAACGCTAAATATTTTCTTTAATGATATAGTGCAGGGTTCTATTAAGTATATGTACTCACGATAACACTGAACTAGTTGAAAGTATGGCATCAATTAACTTCAACTTTCAGCTTGACATTTTTTCATTGCAGACGGGCTTTATTTACTCTTTAGATCGGGGCATAGAATTCAAAGAAAACATAACTCTTAAAAATAGTTTATGAAAGTTTGCTTTTCTTTGTTGGAAAAATCCAATATTATTTTATGTTGTTTGATGTTCACCAATCAATACCATTCCGCAGCGCTATAAAAGGACGATATAATGTTCGAAAAATGTGCAATATTTTCCTTTTGAATTTCAATTATTGGGTTCATATCAATCGAGAAGGCACATCTAAAAAGTATAAATAACCCAAAGGCAGAATTAATTAAAATCGCAATATATGAAACCGCAGCTTTGAATATAAATTAAATTTCCCTTAAATTGAAAATTATAATTCGGGGTCTCAGTCAAAGTGTAAAGTAATAATTTTGAATATCGTTTATTTCATTACGTTTCTGCGAGACAAAAGCGCCATCATCAGATTTAAAATTTACACAAACTACAAGCACCAATTCACAATTAAAACATGTTGTATAAAGACTATAATTTATAAATCGTTAAAACATTCATCAGTTCTTGAGGGAAAAAATCCTTTCTTTTGGCAGAGCAAAGCACTTGAAAAACTTACCTCATAATTGGTAATCATTACGTTCTTTTAGGTCTTTGCCTTCTTGAAACCTTAAATTTGTCAGAATTATTTTCTACATTTGCGAGAATGGTATGCATGTATTAATCTAAGCGGAAATAGTTTTAATTTTTCACAATTGTACTGAGTATTCTATACTTGTATGGCTTTATTAGGGTGTGGTAAATGTTGCTAAGGTTGTCGGTCTGTTGTCTCGCCGAAACTTAATGAAATAAACGATATTCAAAATTTTTACTTCACACTTTGACTGAGACCCAGGAAAGATAAGAATATAATAACAATTACACGCAGTCAGCAAAATAGATAAAAAAAACGAAATGTACGTATACTATTTTATTTTCGATATTTTTGTAAATTGGAAGTAATGTTTAAATGACAATAACAAATAACGCTAAGATATCAAACGTGTATTATCTCAACGTGTGGTTAATTAAAATTAAGTAATATTAAAGTGGATACTGAAAGATGCAAGGTTTTGAAGAAACGCGTTTTACGGTCCAGAAGTCTTGCACTTCTTGAGTCGGTTCAGCCCTAAGTTTACAACTTGCCAAAATATATATATACAGGGTTGCTCATTAGTGCGTCAAAGTGCGATATCTCAGTAAATATGAACTTTACAAGAAAATACGTCCTACGAAAGTTTTTCATGTTTAAAAGGTCCACATTTTAAAATTACTTTCCAATATACGGGGTGTATCATAAACGTGTGGTAGTTACCAACTTTGGTTTTTTAAATGGAACCGCCCCTTTTTTCATTCATTTTCAGATTTGTCGTCAAAATGTAAGTTAAGTTTGTGTCAAACGTTTTACCAGAAAAATTTACGATTTCCGAGTTATTCGTAAAAATGTGAAAGTTTTGACAGCTACTGGGTTCCACAGAAATCGATGCTGTACACTACCCGCTGCG